TGCCCCTCAGTAGATAAATGGATCAAGAAAATGTGGTATATATACACAATGGAATTCTATGCCTCCATCAGAAAGAATGACATTTCCCCATTTGTTAGGAAATGGAAAGACCTGGGAAAAAATTAAGTGAAGTAAACCAGGTCCAAAGAAACATAGGTCCCATGGTTTTCCTTATTTGCAATAACTAGTATATATCTGAGACAAGCAGAAATGGTCAGATAAGTTGATGTTAGGCGAAATGAACCCTGAGATAAGGACTCAAATGGTTTTTTTTTCTTGCTATTGTTTCTAACATTTATAAGATTTTTTTCTTGTTGCTTTGTATGTCCCTCCCCCACGGTATAATCCCTGTTGTCACTGTATTTGATGTTGGTATAATTTGGGGAGTGGAAGGGAAAAAACAAATTGTTTAAATAGGGATACAGATGGACCCATTGCAACAATGAAATGTGCAAGATGCTATGTCAAAAACGAACTTTACAACTTTGGGCGGAGGTAGGGATGGTCAGGGGAAACAAAGGAGGAGGCAACAATGCTTGATAAGAACTGTACTCATTACCTTGCTCATGTAATTGTAACGCTTCTGTATGGTATTTTCACAATAAAAAAAGTAATAAAAAATGAACATTAAGAAAAAAGAAAAAAAGTTTCTGCACACATGGGAGAGTGGTGTTTCAGGAAACCAAGGTTAAGGGTTACATTCTGTGACATTCTGTGTGGGATTGTAAGTGTCCAAAAGGTTTTAGTTGTGAGACAGATGTCACAGAGTATTTTTGTAAACAGGTAACTCACCATGTCAGAACTAAATCAGTACATAGAAGTGCTTAGATGAATGATCACAATTTAGGATCCATACATGTGGGAGAGATTGGGATGGGGTTAGAGGACTGCTTATTAACTATGTCCTCTTAAATATGTTGCTTATCTAAGTTTTTTTTTTCTCATTTGGAAAGTGGGTACATACTAACCAACTGCCTTTTAACACTGTGATGGGGATCAACGTAGATAGCACTTACCAGTTCAAATTCTCGAGCTCAGTTTTCTAATTCTAGACTAGTAACCTTTAAAATGCAAATTCATGAATAAGAAATGAAACACTGCATTTAAGGTAGAATAAGATGTTATAACACTTGAATGTATAATAAATATACAGATACCAATACTGTGATACTTATATACCTACTTCAATTTTTATGTTCATAAATTAATGAATTATGAGTACTTAGAAGTAACTTTTTCACAGGACTCCCTTCACAAAAGTCAAATGTGATGACTGTTAGATGTCAGTGATTATAATGAAACTGCTGAAATTGTAAAAAAAAATGCTTAATACACTAGATTCCAAGTCAAAAATCACTTTTTCTGCTTATTGTACTCCTAATTTTCTTTCTTACACCATAGTTTATCAGTAGGTAGGGTGGAAATGAAAGATACCTATTGAGTTATGATGGTTCCTTTAATGACTGTTCAACTTCATGATGCTGCAAACAGAATATATAATCAGGGGGAATCATAATTTCATCTATTCTAGAATTAGCCATGACCTTCTCCCTGGGCGCTGGGCAGTTGCAGGACTGCAGCTCCCCAGATCATGAGAAAACAGTGGTCTCTGCACTGTGTGCTCATAAGACAGGACATTCTGAAGGCTAACTGTATTCAGTGCATTTTTCACTTCTGGTGCCTTTACCAGCTGGGACTCCTTTGTAAATCAAAGAGCAACTGCATCCTAAATATCCTTGATTTTTTTTGTCTATCCTCCTCTACAAGACCCTAAATCCCAGGACAACAATCCTTTTTATTAAGCTGTTCTATTTTTTTTCTCTTATCTGTTCTGATTTTCAGAGTATTTTCAAATTGAGGGGAATATCTTCAAATTGGGAATAAGACAATAACAAATAGAAGTGCATTATAACACTATTACTATTCCAGTTCATTTTTTTGAATGGAAGATCTGTTGGAAGATAACACTCCTTGTTTATTAGAAAATGTGCACAGGAACAAAATCTGTCTCATCATCTTTCATCCTGAGTTCATGAAACATTCAGAAAACATGAAAGAATACACATTTGGGAATACATTTTCTTTGTGTGTGGGTACAAGTCTTGGAGCTTGAACTCAAAGCCTAGCCACTTTCCTTAAGTACTTTTGCTCAAGGCTAAATTGTACCACTTGAATCACATCTCTATTTCTAGTTTCTTTGGTGGAAAAATGAAGACATGATTCTTAAGCATTTGGGTTTCGATAAGTAATGCCAAAATGATTTTAGTACATGCTGTTTTCTATTTAATTACTACTGATGAGTCAGTTGTGAATTTTTCACTTGTAGTCCATTCTATTGTTCTTCTGAGTAATAAAACACTAGTGTGGATGTTGAAAAAAAAAAACCAAACAAATAGAAATGATGTCTAATTCAGTGCTTCTCAGACTGCTGGTCACAACTGACCCAGCAGTGACTGTGAAGCCAATGTAGTAAGAGTTATCAGCATTTTGTAAAATAGTTTTAGCACAGTGTTTCAGAAAAAGCACTGTTACATGGAATTTGTTTCAAACAAGATACATACATAATATGAATGATACCACTAGATTGTGACATAAAATGCATTATTTTTGAGATAAGAATCTCAATGTATGTCATAGGCTGTCCTCAAACTCATATTCCTTCTATGGGCTAGTAACATAATGCCTGGCTTCAAATACATTTTTTTTTTTTTGGTCGGTCATGGGGCTTGAACTCTGGGCCTGGGCGCTGTCCCTCAGCTCTTCAGCTCAAGGCAAGCGCTCTACCACTTGAGCTACAGCGCCACTTCCGGCTTTCTGGTGGTTTATTGGAGATAGGAGTCTCACGGTCTCTCCTGCCTGGGCTGGCTTTGAACCGCGATCCTCAGATCTCAGCCTCCTGAGTAGCTAGGATTACAGGCATGAGCCACCAGCGCCCGGGTTCAAATACGTTTTTTTAACTGAAGGCCTGCTTATTTTGGTGGGTTACATAGATACTGCCTTAATTTTTTCAGAACGTAATTACCACAAAGTCATAAAAGCTGGATTGACTCCACCTGTATACAGCAATGGTGAATGTAGAAAGTGCCATCTTCCTTGTGAGTCAGACTGCGGTGCACTGAGTCAGCTCCGGCTAGGGTCTGCACCTCTCTACTCTGACATCTGATGTACAGAAAAGAACTCTTTTTTAAAGGCCGGAGACAAATGACCACTGACAAGATACATGCTTTCTGCCCTCCCAATCTGCATACATTCCCAGCACAAGAGGGAAATTAGTGGTCATGTAAGATCCACTCCATAGAACTAAAATTCAAAATTACTTACTCTGTCCACAGGGTATCCAATTCAAGACACACCACCAAATATTGAACATAGACACATGATGATAGACATGAAGAAAAGTGATCTGACTTGTCTTTTTTCGCAAAACAAAGAAAATTGTGTCCAGGAACTCCACCAACTTGGAGAAGTAGTACCACCATAACACTTTAGCTACCTATAAAAATTTAAGGAGAGAAATATGAGCAATGAAGATGTTTCTGTACAGTTCATCTCAGCCTTCTGCAAGTCATCTGCCTTGCCTAGTGTGCGCTGCTTTCTTAAACCACTGCAACAGCTACTCAGCTGGTGTGTTAAGCCTCCAATTTCTCCTCATTCTAAGAAACCTGTCCCACTTTACTGAAAGGCGGGTTACCTCTTCCCAGTACAGGAGCTTTCTGAGTCTTTCACTGGATGCTTTCCACCTCCCTCTGCCAATCTCCAGGAAGGTATCCTGTGGGTCCTGAAATGATCTATTGCCCCTCTACCCCTTGAGTACTGAATCCTTTTCCTGCATCCACCACTCCTCAAGTCTGGCACATTCTAGTCATCCTTTACTAGTTCTCTGAAATGCCACTTTACCTAGCCAGCTTTCCTCTTTCAGGCAGAAACAGACACTGCTTCATATGCATCCTCAAATTTCTCTGACTAGACCTCTATAATCAACAATCATAGCAAGTATAATGAGCGTGAGAATGTGTCAGCAGATTCACTGGGAGGCTGATGCTATTTCATTGTTATTCTCAGTGCCTAGCATTCACCAGGACAGAATTACTGTTCTTTACCCTAAAATGATTTTCCTCTGTTCTGTTCTCAACATTACAGTGGTAAGTCACAAACACTACTTTCTTTTCCTTCATAGTTCTTTAGACAGTTTTCTTTTCTATTGTGAAAATACTGTACAGAGGAGTTACAATTACATGGGCAAGATAACGAGTACATTTCTTATCAAGCATTGTTGCCTCCTCTTTGTTTTCCCTTCCCATCCCTTCCCATCCTCCCTCCCCTGCCACCAAAGTTGTAAAGTTTGTTTTTCCGACATAACGACTTGTACATCTCATTGTTGCAATGGGTCCACCTGTATCCTTATTTGGCAAAACACTTCTTTAATGGAAAGTGTCTTTGATGAAAAGTGCTGTTTTAGCTGAGTGCCAGTGGCTCATGCCTGTAATCCTAGCTACTCAGGAGGCTAAGAGATCTTGGGATTGTGGTGGTTCAAAGCCAGCCTGATCAGGAAAGGCTGTGAGACCTCTATCTCCAAATAATCACTTGGAAACCAGAAGTGGTGCTGTGGCTTGAAGCAGAAGCAGTAGCGTGCTAGCACTGAGCTCAAATGGCTCAGGGACGGCACCTAGACCCTGAGGTTCAAGCCCCATAACCAGTCAAAAAAATTACCTCTGGGTAATTGTGACTCACTACGCTATACTAGCACAAACTGCTTAGGCCTCTTTTACAGATAAAGTTAAGAAGTAAGTCATTCTTGTATTTTCAATTTGAATATGATCACAGCATACTAGTTGTAAGTATTGCTTTTCTTTTTCTCAAATTAGTTGTGACATGGACTTCCTCATAAATCCCAAAACAGCAATACCAGTACTGGTATTATAAACAATAGCATTAAAACTACTAGTAAGTCTGTTATATATCCCACTAGGGAGATTCACTTAAAATACTGTGTTCCAAAGTCACTTGAAATTATTTTTGTTGGGTTGTTATGTTATCAATGCAATGTACAGGCATAATAATTTATTTTAGTCTGTTTCTAACTTTTTGGTGGGAGGCTGCCTTGCTTTCAAGATTTGACATAAGTTTTGTAATTATATACAATACTGATTCCCCAAGCTCACCCGGACATCAGCTTCTCCTGCGCTGATGAGATTCTGACATTGTAGGTTGTAGCCACCTTCCCAACTAGAGAGAATGAGCTGCCAAAGAACAAAAAAAAAATGGGGAGAAAGATCAACATTAAGATGCAAACTGAACTTCCCATTCACATCCCTAACTAGCATCTTTTCATTTTTAAATAAAAACCCTCAGAATTTGACCCATCTTTTCTTCAAACATATATTATCAAGAGAATTTAATTCTTGATGCTAAACTGAAATCAGTGGTTCTATTCCTTAGTATATTTACTTCAAACTGTATCAGCCAAAAGTAAAAATCTAGTTATGTGATTAGTGATCATTATCACAGATATTTCTATGTAAGGAATCATCTAGTCATGTTTTTACAAGAAAATGTGAGGGAACTAAATTTTATATTGTTAACATAAGTCTTATATTATTTGATCTTGTTACAGATATGAAACAAGACTGAAAGATTCATAATACATTTTCTGTATTATGTTCACACTACTTAGTGATCAATTTGTGTGATTAATACCTACTTTCCACATTATTCTCAAAAAACAAAAAGCTCCACAAAATCTACACCTCTTGCCCCATGCCTAGCAGACAGAAAGTGCTCAGTAAACACTGGATCAGTGAATGACTTTCTCAAGGTTACATACTAAAAAATGGTAGAAAGATGATTACAATTCAGACTTCCTAATTTCATTATTTTAAAATTGATCTTTTTATTTCTTGTTAAATGCTACAGAAGTTCATTGTAAAAACTGAACTTCTAGAATATAAGGTATGGGTTTGATTTGCCTTAAGTATTAAAAGCAAGTAGCTAGTATTTTCTGCAGCCTTCGAGGATTATATGCATTAAAATATATACTGACCATTAAAATGAGATGAGCTACTAAATAACACTTAGAATGCTTCAGAGCTTTTGTAAGATTTTTCTTCACTGTTCTGACAAATGAATTTAGTAAAAGACTACCACCTGGGATTTTCTGGATAGGCCCTATCACAAGTCAGTTCATCAACAGCCCCAAGGGACTTTATGTTCCTTAGGACCAGGATGAAGGGGGATCTGGACATGCCTTAAAGGCTAAGCAATTTTTTATGTATTGGTTTCTTTTCAAACTAAGAAAGGTGCAGCTTCTTACACAAAGATTAAAATATCTAAGATCAGGCTATAATTCTATAGTAATTTCCTGATCTCATTTTGTATGCTAAGAATACTGTTGAACAGTAACCTGAGTGTAGACAGGACATAGCATATTTATCTGACATTTCCTGTTTCAACCAGATTTATCCAGGTTGTCCCCATTCCTATAGCCTATACAAAACCATTTAACAATTTAATAACTGAGTAGCAGAACTAAGCAGCCAAACCGCAGGAAGCCTGACCTCAAGCCATTCCTAATCCCTTAACTGAACTAGATTTAGAAACTGTAAAGTATACCTAGACTATATCACACTCTTAAGACTTTGATTCCAGGCTGGCTTCAAGTACTCAACAGAGAGTGTTTTTCCTTTTGCTATATAGAGAAACTAAGCCCATAAATGAGCATGCCAAAAGACATCTCCATTAAAAAAAAAAACTATCAGTGTCAGGAAAGTTAGTAATCACCTATATGGTGTCATTTTCGAATAGCAGCATGGCTTTCTCCATCCCAAATTCTATCTCCTGCACTGTGATGTCTACAATTCAGTGTTAGCTTTATATGTACCTTTTAAAGCAATAGTAAATAATTATTATAATGGTGCATATTAAAATAACAGACACCCTGAGTATTTTATTTTCTTGCTAGCCAGAGGCTTGAACTCACGGCCTGGGCGCTATCCCTGAGCTTTTTGTCCTCAAGACTAGTGCTCTACCACTTGAGCCACAGTGCCACTTCTGGCTTTTTCTGAGTAGTTTATTGGAGATAAGAGTCTCATGAACTTTCTTGCCCAGACGGAGTTTGAACTCTGGGATCTCAGCATCCTGAGTAGCTGGGATTACAGGTGCACTACCAGCGCCCAGAAGAAACCTGTATGTTAAGGATTACTTTTCCCTTTTTTTAATTAAAGGGAAACAGGAAAGAACATTCTATCGTATTGTTATCAGCCATGTATAACTTATATGAATGATTTTATCCTAACTTTTAAAAAGATTTAATTCCCTTTCTCTATATCTCTCTCTTAGCTATTTTGCTACAACAAATGAATACTTTCAGCTTTTTCCCTTGTGTTATATATCTAAACAACTTTTGATTGTAAAGACAGGACATTCACTGCTTGTTCTTCATTACTTGTAAAATGATTTGGGTTTGGTGCTTTATAAGTGATGTAACTGGGACAAGGGAACTGCCAACTGGAATGTCAGCTCAGCTTCAGTCTTGAGAACAAGTCTGCCATGGCCTAAGTGTTGCAAAGATGTGGGGAGTATTCTTTAAAGGAGGATTTGCACTCCATCAAACTGATTGAGCTCGCATAATATTTGAATAGCCCACCAATCACTGTATAGTCTAAATTTAGATGACTTTTCCAAGCTTCAATATAAGAACCCATCTTTTAAATTTTGATTCCAAGTTTCAGTATATCTAAGGATTAAAGAAATCGGCCTAAATTGGGAAGAGAAAAATTTAAGTTTTCTAACTTGAACATGTAGTACATGTTCTTCCAAGACTGTGAGAAGGAATAATATCAAATGCTGGAATAAGCTCATGTATGCATGTGCGTGCGTGCATGCATGCGTATGTGTGTGTGTGTGTGTTTGTGGTATTGGTGTTTGAATTTAGGCTTTCATATTTGCTAACAGGTGCTCTGCCACCTGAACCAAGCCTCTGGCCCACTCTTGCTTTAATTATTTTGGGAATAGGGTCTCACTATTTTGTTTGGTGCTGACTTCAGAGTACAATCCCCTGCCTATGGCTTCTCTTATGCAGTTGGGACCAAAGGCACATGATTCCACATCTGGCTTGTTGGTTGAGATGGGGACTTGCTAACTTTTTGTCCAGATTGCTCTAGAACTGCAATCCTCTTGAAATCTGCCTAAGTAGCTAGAATTACAAGCATAAGCCACTGTGCTTAGTCAAGTTCTTGAGTTCTTAACAAATGATACTGAGAACTGAGGATATGTAAAGTACCTGCCTAACCAGCATGAGGCCCTGAGATCAATCCCATTAAAAAAAAGGTGAAAGGCAGGATGACAATAACACTAACCCTGTGAAGTTCTGATGGGCAACATGTAACTACATCTGAAATTTAATTACTAACTCCAGCTTTGCCTACATAAACACTTACCTCTACCAGCATGTATGCAGAAAGAAGTGTGATTCCAAGATTATACAAGGTAAGGATTCCCCTGAGAGAAAGAGCAGGTCTATTCTTCATGTATTTGTTACCCAGCCATATTGAGAGCAGATATATGACAGTAAGAAAAAAGGTAGGAAGGTAAGAGTCCAACATAAACCAGCCTCTGACTCGAGAATCTGGAAAGAAAACACACAGTGAGACCTGAGGAATACACCTTTGTTAGCAATACTAAAGCACACATTTCATTCGTATGGTAGTTCCCCTTAGTTTTGGGGAATATGTTCCAAAATCCCCAGCAAATGTCATCTACTATGATTTTTTTCCTATACATGCACCTACAAATTTAAAACTTGTGTGTACCAGTCCTGGGTTTAAACTCAGAGCCTAGGTGCTGTCACTGAGCTTTTGTGCCCAAAGGCTAGTGCCCTACCACTTGAGATACAGATCTACTTCTAGATTTTTTGGTACTTAACTAAAGAGGTAAGAGTCTCACGGACTTTCCTACCTGGGCAGGTTTTGAACTGTGATCCTCAGAGCTCAGCCTCCTGTGAAACTAGGGGCCTCTGGTGTCTTAAGCAGTTTCCAAACTTATACAGTTTGGTATGTAACTATAAAACTAAAAATTATTTTTCCTTTTAGATAGATTTGTTCTTACTGTAGATCCTAATAATTTTACAACTGGTCAAAATCTTCTTTTCTTATTAAGTAAAAATTTTTTTACCTGCTTATCATAGGAGGCATTTTATGGTTCTCATTGGCATGTCCAAATTGCCAGTACCATCACTACTCTTGCATATATGAACCGCCGCCAAGAATACTCTTAAGCCAGGTACTGGTGGCTCACACCTCTAATTCTACTAGTCAGGAGGTTGAGATCTGAGGTTCATGGTTCAAAGCCAGTCCATGCAGGAAACTCTGTGAGACTTTTATCTCCAATTAAGCACCAAAAAGCAGGAAGTGAAGCTGTAGTTAAGTAGTGGAGTTCTAGCCTGTAGCAAAAAAGTTCAAGGACAATACCCAGGCTGTGAGTTCAGGACCCCCCAAAAAATATGACTTATTATTCCTGGAATTTTCCATACAGTATTTTGAGATTGCAGTTGATCATGCATAGTTTAAACTACAGAAAATGGAACCTGCAGGTAAGGGGTACATCATAAACACAATACTTTATAATAAAGCATTAAGTTAACTGAATTGGAGTTAGAATTCCAGAGAAGAAGCCAGTGTGGGAGAGTGGGGAGCTGAGTAGTTAAGTAAGGTTTTATGGAGCAAGTAGGGCTTAGGCAGATGACTGATAGACAGATGAAAAGTAAGTTGCTGAATGCCTAGTTTGAAACAGTTACTGCTTCTTCTAACTCAATATGATGTACTATTAAGCTGTTTTATGGATGTCATGGTTCAGAGAGCTTCAGTAAAAGGTAAAATATTTAAGTGGTGGGCACCAGAGTCAGGATCTGAATTCATATTTGTCCTCCCATGGTGACGAGGAAGGTAGTCACACAAAGATGACATAGTGGGATTGTATCCTAATTCCTAAAGCCCCCATTTTCCAATTTGCCCAGGGTAACTATATAATAATAAGCTGCAGTGGTTTATGGATACAAACTGAGCAATGTGATTTTAAAACAGGAATTATGGAAAGCTGAAGATGGCAAAGGCAAAGCCTAAGAACTGATCACTTAGACCTGAGAACAGAAAACAAAATCAAGGACTCAAATTTGGCCAAAGAACTAGAAATTCAAATAGCAGGGAAGCAAAAATAGCACCTGGACATAGCAAGTCCCTGTACTACTCTAAAGACTAAGATTTAACAGACAACATAAAGTCCCAGTGAGAGAGCTATAGATAGTGATATCAAAGATTACATTCATGTCTAAATAAAACCCCAAGATAGGGACACAAGTGGTTTTTTTTCTTGCTTGCTATTGTTTTTTAATGTAACTATGTGATTTTTTTTGTTTCTTTTATATGTTCTCCCTCCCCCCATGGTATAACCCCTGTTTTTGTTTTTTACTGTATTTGATTCCGGTGCCCTGCATCTTGTATATATGTTTTTCTCATATGGGGAGGGGAAGGGAAATAACAAAATTCTGAAATAAAGGTACAGGTTTGACCCATTGTAACAATGAGATGTACAAGACACTATGTTGAAAACGAACTTTACAACTTTGGAGGGGGGAGGAAGGAGTTGGGGAGGGAAATGATGGTAGGGGAAAAGCAAAGGAGGGGGTAACAATGCTTAATAGGAAATGTACTCATTACCTTACTCATGTAACTGTACCCCTCTGTACAGTATTTTTACAATAAAAAATTAAAAGAAAAAGGTAAAAAAATAGTAAGGCCTAGAATTATAAGACTTCCATGCTATTTTTAATCTCCATAAATAGAGTTGTAAGGAGTAGGTTTTACTAACATGGCAGTTCCTTTTTCTTTTTTGTCGGTCATAGGGTTTGAACTCTGGGCCTGGGCGCTGTCCCTCAGCTCTTCAACTCAAGGTGAGCGCTCTACCAGTTGAGCCACAGAGCCACTTCCAGTTTTCTGGTGGTTTATTGGAGATAAGAGTCTCATGGACTTTTCTGCTTGGGCTGGCTTTGAACCGTGATCCTCAGATCTCAGCCTCCTGAGTAGCTAGGATTACAGGTGTGAGCCACTGGCGCCCAGCAGCAGTTCCTTTTTCTTGACCTCTCTGGTTGTTACAGTCTCAGTCCCTCTTCCTGGCTTCCTCAACTTTTCCTTAATCTGCTTTGCAGGCTACATTTTTATAAGGAAAATGCTTCTCAAGCTCTGTCCCATGTTTCTTGAGCTCTAACTGTCCCACAGATGCCAGAGAGGAAAAGGTAAGAATATGCAGTATTTAGATGATTCACAGGTATCATTTTCTTATGCTTGGCTCCTAATTACCTTTCACAAGACTCTCCTTAATCTTAGTGTACATATCAAGATAATTATTTCTAATTTTTCATTATGTCTACAGGTAATAACAAAAACATTTACATATATTGACTTACTCAATACTTCTTAAGATTTCTTAATTTCTTAATTCCTATTATAACCTATTAGGTTATATTATTCCCAATTCACTTTTGAGAAAAAAATTGAGCCAAGGAGGGAAAAAGAGCTAAATAACTTGCACTAAAATGCTCCCCTACTTCTTGTCATGTGAGTTGGGGGTCTACATTCTTGGTCCTAGTTCTTGGTACCTGTGAATATGACCTTATTTGGAAACAGATCTTTGCAGAAGTAATCAAGTTGAGCTCTCTCTAGATTAGGGAGAATCCTAATCTGGTGAGTAGTATCCTTTTAAGAAAAAGAAGCTGGGGCTGGGAAGGTGGCTCAGGGTACAGTGCTTGCTTTGCATGCATGAGGCCCTGGGTTTGATTCCTCAGCACTGCATAAACAGAAAAAGCTGGAAATGGCACCATGGCTTAAGTGGTAGAGTGCTCCCCTTGAGCTGAAGAGCTGAGGGACAGTGCCTAGGCCCAGAGTTCGTGCCCAACGGCCGACAAAAAAAAAAAGTTTGAGCACAAGGACACAAAAGGAAAATGCTTTGTGGAGTCAAAGATGGGGTAATGTATCTACAAACTAAAGACTATTTAGACAGACTACAAAGACTGTCAGCAACCCTCCAAACTAGGAGAGACAAAAAGAGAACTTTCTCAAAAACTCATAGAGACCAAGACCAAGGCCCTTCCCATACTTTAATTCCTGATTCCTGGCCTCCAGAACTGTGAGAGAGGAAGTTTCTGTCTTTTTTAAGTCTGGACCCTATTCCTCACCCCAACTGAGGATACTTCATTGTCAGCTCTAGGATGTAAGCCCTTGTAGCTTAGTTGCTAAATGACTTACTTTCCTACTATTTCAGATGTAGTAGTTTTTACCAGCCCAACTACTATAGACTCCATGAGAAGTGATCAGGTCTTTTCTATCTTACTTAGAATTTATATCCACTTAGTACTGAGTTAAACAGCAGTGAGGCAAACAGACATTGCTGCCAGGACAGCAAGACCAGGGCCACTGACCAGTCTGTAGATCAGCCTACAAGCTCACCCCTTCCTCCATGTAAGAAATATCTAAGACTCCAAAATAATCACCCCTAGGGTGCCATAGAAGTACTGATAAAAATGGTAATAAAGTTCCTTGGGCTGGCACCAAGTCCTGATAATCAGAGGGTTCATGCAGCAGGCAGAGCCCCATGCCCAGTGCACATGTAGGAAGAAAGATGACCCCACAGTGACCTCTTGGCCCCACAGTGCCCAGGACCTCAGTTTAAGACTATTAAACTTCTATAAAGAGTCTTTGTACAGTGTCTCAACAAATCTAAGCATGCGTATTTGTTAAACTATATTTGTCAGTCAGCCTGTGTGTCAGAGGCATATCAAAGGACAGCCTATTCCTAACCTGGAATTAAGGGGGAAAAAAACCCTAAAACTAAAAGCCTTGTTAGTGCCACCTTGCAGTCAATCTCATTTTCTCTTTAATCAACATGTCTATCATTTTATGTTTTTGTTTTGCTTAAATTCTTCTCTTGCCAAGACACAAATATTGAGGTTTAACTGCATGAGTCTTCCATAACATATTATGAGATTGAGCTACATGACTTTCTGGGTACAGAAATATTTACTTAAAATACATCAAGCTTTTTTGTATTGTTGTTGTTGCTGCTGTTCTTTTTTTTTTTCGTTTTTGTTTTTTGATCATGGGGCTGGAAGTCTGGGACTGGGCGATGTCCCTCAGCTCTTCAGCTCAAGGCTAGCACTCTACCACCTGAGCCACAGCTTATAAGCCAGGCCCAAAGAAACATAGGTGCCATGGTTTCCCTTATTTTCAATAACTAATACACGTGTAGGACAAGTAGAAAAGGTCAAAAGATATGTACATATGACCATATAAGATGATGTTAAGTGAAATAACCCCAAGATAGGGACACAAATATTTTCTTTTTTGCTTGCTATTGTTTCTAACATATTTATAATGTACCATGTGATTTTTTTTGTTTCTTTGTTTTTTTTGTTTCCTCTCCCACGATATAACTCCTGTTTTCACTGTATTTGATCCTGCATCTTGTATATACACTTCTCTAATTCTGGGAGGGGAAGGGAAAAACAAAATGCTTAAATAGGGATACAGGTTGAACCACTGTAACAATGAGATGTACAAGACACTATGTTGAAAATGAACTTTACAACTTTGGGGGGAGTTGGTTGGTTGTGGAAGTAGGAGGGAAGGGATGGTAGGGGAAAAACAAAGGCAGAGGCAACAATGCTCGATAGGAAATGTACTCATTACCTTACTCATGTAACTGTAACCCTTCTATACAGTATTTTTACAATAAAAATGTACAAAAAATAAATACATCAAGCTGGACACTTGCGACTCCTGCATGTAATCCTAGCTACAGGAGGCTGAGATCTGATGATTAAGGTTTTCCGAAGGCAGCCCAGGAAAAAAAAAATGTGAGCCTCTTATCTCTAATTAACCACCCAAAAGCCCTAAAGTGGAGCTGTATCTCAAATGATAGAGCATTCACCTAGAGTGAAAAAGCTAAATGACAGTGCTTAGGCCCTGCACCCGAATTCACACCCCTGGCATAAAAAAAAAAATCAACTGGCACAATGAGTCAAGCACATATTGCAAAACAAATGCAGCACCTAAAAAATTTCATTTTCTTTTGTCATGTGCCTATGAACTTTAACAGCTTTCTCTCTGCATCTGTGTAAGGCGTATCTCTTGATGGTGCCAGTATGGTGTGCAAAGAGTCAGACAGGGACACGTAGAAGTTTACTAAGTATGTGCCACTCTGTGTGAGCATGTATCTCCATTAGGAGAGAGGAAGGATTCTTGTCGGCTTAGATTGTAGGTACCCTGTTGCATGCAATTGGTAGTAAACTGTCAACTTCCAATCTCTAATCTTACAATACTAAAATTTCCTTTTTAAAGGACAATTTCATAGAGCTTTCAGTTGTTTTCTCAGTGAGCCCTTATCTGTATAGTGCAATTCACACTGGTCTCTTACTAGTAGGTAGCAAAGGTCAGTGCAAACTTAGATCAGACTGATGTTTAACTCTCTGGTGGAAGTGTTAAGAAAGCCATGGTTACCAAAAAAGTCAGTTCTCCTAGGACCCTAAATGCTAAGCAACGGCTGTGTCCTCCACACTTCCTGCTAGTACTGCAAGGCATGGAATACCAGAGAGCAATAAAAGGAGCTCAGACATGTCTTCCTACCCTATAGAAGAATTTTTTTAAAAAACACCTTTACCTTGTTCAAAAATAGTATTTTTAGGCTGTACATAGAGTATCATTCCATTAAGATTAAATAAGTCACCATTTACTTGGGGTAATTTGAGTTCCTATGAAAACTAGACTGGTCCAAATAACCTACATAAAGATTTTTTTAAAAAATGTTTTTTATTGTGAAAATACTGTACAGAGGGGTTACAGTTACATGAGCAAGGTAATGAGTACATTTCTTATCAAGCATTGTTGCCTCTTCTTTTATTTTTCCCCTACCATCCTTTCCCTCCCATCTTACAACTACACTACACCCCCACACCTAAATTGTAAAGTTCGTTTTTCAGCATGCATAGCATTTTGTACATCTCATTATTGCAATGGGTCAAACTGTATCCCTATTTAAACAATTTGTTTTTTCCCTTCCACTCCCCAAATTATACCAGCATCAAATACAGTGAAAACAGGGATTATACCATGGGGGAGGGACATACGAAGCAACAAAAAAATCATGTGGTAACTTATAAATACATTAACAGGAAATCCTCATTTCCCATGTCTTATCCCTGACAGTACAGAAGAAATAACCTCAAAGAAAACTGGGTTTTCCACAGGTTTGTGAACCAGCAAGGCTCAAGTGAAACAAAATATTTTGTCCAGAATTCATTCACACAATGCTGAATAATATGTTCTGGCAACTGTGATAAGCCCTAGAGATTAATGGTGGGTAAAGCAGCCACGGTTCCACTCCTCAGGGAAGAAACTGCTACAAATAACAATAAAGCTCATAAAGCAAAGAAAAGGGTGAAATACAGAGAAGCCTGATACTCCTTGGGGAGGCCATCTAAGAAGGAAGTAATCAGACTGGAAAATAGGGTAGGAAATAGTAAAAACCCCAGGTTCTAGGAACAACAAGAAGCATTTACACATTTGAGGACTTAGAAGATGTCTCAAATAGCTGTATTAGAATAAGAGATAAGGCACTGACAGTAACGTTAGAAAGGTAGCTGGGACTAGGTGATTCAAGGCATGTAGTCCATGAGAAGAAATGTAGCTTTGTCCCTAAGTAAATGCCACTGAAGAATTGGAAATTGGGATACAACATAGTATAATTTAGGTGTTTAGAATATCATTTCAGCTGAAACTTAAATAACTGAAAGAGGGCTCAGAAAGGTCACTGCAGAGTGACTGGTAATGGAGGGACCACTGAGGGACTTCTAGTCATGTCCAAAACAGGAATGGCTCACACGCTGGTACAAGGAACTTCTGGAGGCATACAGGGACAGGAATTCCACAGATGAGTGGTTAAAAACAGTATAAGGTGACTGATGAGAAGAGGAGAGAGTAAAACAGCAGTTTAAGAAGAAAGCCACAATCTTGTTTTGGAGCCAGACAGTGGAGGAAAATTCCTAAAACTCCTTTAATCCCAGGAAAGCTTGAACAGCAGGAAAAATGGGGCCTTCCGGACATTCTGGGGAAAAGAGTAACAAAAGTGAGCCTGCTTAAGTTGCTAAATTCCATTTTTTAAGACACCATAGAAAACAATATTTTTCTTCATTCTTTCTGTGCTTTTCACATTAAGTTCTCAAGTAGCTAACTCACCTCGAGGTCCAAACATATAGTCCAAAAAATCATTGACTTCATCATCAAAGGCCTTTAGATGCTCCTAAAAAAAGTAAAAAAGAAAAAAATTACCTGAGTATTTTTTTTAAATTTAGAACAAGCCACTACCACGAAAATGTAGTTACAACCTATCTGAACTCACAGAGTCTGGATTACAGACTTGAGGAAAGAAAACCTATTTATGACCACAACTTCTAGTGGCCGGGGAAATACAACCTCACCTTTCACAGCCTGCAAACCAGAAGGAAACAATTCCTCTTTAAATTTCCTTAGGCAAGACAAGTCCTAGAAAATAGTCCTGATGCACTTAGACATTCAGGGTTACTGACCTCAATTCCATTTACCTCTAAAATGTTTAGAGGCAAAGTTGCTCCATAAGCAACTTCCAATGTTGCAATTATCAGGGACTATGTGTAAGCAACAGGGAAAATCTGACTACAGTATATAAACGTGAATTTTAAAGGTAAATTCTGCTGCAGTGTATACCATGAAGCCAAAGCTAAAGCATTAAAAGGAGTTTAAATATGAAAACTGAATATTATACCCCCATTTTTCTATTGCCTTTATGCTTTGTTTCAAGCTGTTTTGTACAGTAATGTCTATTTAAAATTAATATAAAGAATGTCATCAGGATGGACCAGATTGCCACTTGCTTCAAAGATTTTTTTTTTAAACTGGTACTAGGCCTGGGCTCTATCCTTAAGCCCCTTTTGCTCAAGGCTAGTAGTGCTCTATCACTTGAGCTACAGCACTCCTTCCAGCTTTTTCATTGGTTAATTAGAGATCAGAGTCTCATGGACTTTCCCGCTCCAGCTGGCTTCCAACTGCCATCCTCAGATCTCAGCCTCCTGAATAGCAAGGATTACAGGTATGAGCCACTCATACCTGGCATTGCTGCTAAGAATGTTAAGATGAGTAAACTGGCTGCTAACTTGATGTAGCTCCCATTTGTGCTTGTCTGCTATTATACTGCTCAAAATAGCTGCTCAGTTGTCCCTACCCTACTTCAAATATCTACAGCCCCTCTTCAAGGAGAGGCAAAACAGCACTGCACAGTGTTTTGACCCAGTATGAGGACCTGGCCACCTGTGAGTTAGTGTGATGGCCTTGGAATTCACACAGAATGAACCCTAGATTGAACAGTTGGGATGCTGAAATTAATTCACTTTCAAAGGCAAGTGCAAGTACCAAGGAGGAGAATTAGTTTACTGGCTTCTGAAAAGAGGATCCACATTTCTGTAAATGGCACAAGCTACTGGAATCTATTCCTTATTTGTTTTTAGGGAAGTAGTACCAGGGTTTGAACTCAGACTCACAATTGCCTGGCTTGTGCTTATCACTGAACTTTTCCAACACTGCTTTTTGCTGGTTGTGGGGATAGTCTAGTGAGCTTTTCTTACAAGGCTGGCTTTGAAACTCTACCTTACAGACCTTTGCCTCTTAAGAAGTTAGGATTACAGATTTGAACCACTGACACCCAAATTAGTCTTCTATCCTGAAATTTCAAGGAAATAAAGGCTTTTGGATGGGGTTTTGGTGGCTCACACTTGTAATCCTATCTATTCAGGAAGCTTGAGGATCTGAGGATTACAGTTCAAAGACAGACTCTAATCACCAATTAATCACTGAAAGTCTGGATGTGGAGCTGTGGCTCAAGTGGTAGAGTACCAACCAGCCTTGAGCAAAAAAGCTGGTCAGCACCCAGGCCCTGACATCAAGCCCTCGCATCAGCACACACATTCATTCTTCTTTCCCCTGCCTTTCTCAAAATCTTTGGGAACCATAGGAGTTACTGACCAACATTTACTGATACCTACTACTGCTAGCCAGTGAACAATATTTTCTGTGTAGTATAATGTATCTATAAAATAGAAAATATTTGGTATCCAGGTGCTGATGGCTCATGCCTATAATCCAGTTACACAAGAGGCTGAGATCTGAGTATCTCAGTTCAAAGCCAGCCTGAGCAAGAAAGAGTATGAGATTCTTATCTCCAATTAACCACCAAAAAGCCTGAAGTGGAGCTGTAGCTCAAGTGGTACAGTGCACTAGCCTTGAATAGAAAAGCTCTCAAGCCCTGAGTTGAAACCCCAGGACTGACTCCAAAAGAAAGAAAGGAAGAAAGAAATTTAGTTATATCAAACCTTGAAGGTTTTTTTAGTATATACTTTATTGTAAAGATACTGTACAGAGGGGTTACAGTTACATGAGTAAGGTAATGAGTACATTCCCTATCGAGCATTGTTACCCTCTCCTTTGTTTTTCTCCTACCCCCTCTTCCCTCCCCACCTCCCTAACTCCTCCCTTCTCCCCCACTCCAAGTTGTAAAGTTCATTTTCAACATAGTGTCTTGTACATCTCATTGTTACAATGGGTCAACCTGTATCCTTGCTTCAGCATTTTGTTATTTCCTTTCCCCTCCCCAAATTTTAGAAAAATGTATATACAAGATGCAGGGCATCAGGATCAAATACAGTGAAAACAGGGGTTATACCATGGGGGAAGAACATACAAAAGAAACAAAAGAATAACATAAGCCTGGAAGTTTTAAACAGTGTGTTTATCTTTGACTTCCATTTAAGCATCTTGGAGACCTCCAGACTTGACAAAGGTCAGTTACCTAACATCTCAGTGTGACCAAACAGGATCTGTCTGGTTGTTACAATATGTAGTTCTGTCTAGTGGCCTCCCATTCTTCAATGGGAGAGACTGATCAATAACCTTGCTGATGTCCTCACCCACCCAACAGAAGCCAATGAAATCATCCATTGCCACATCCATGAACAGATGTTTAAACTTTTCTTCTTTGCTAAGGTCCAAAAATCCATTTCCCAACATTTGTAGAACCAAGAAAACTAAAAGTTCACAATGAGCATAGGGTTACTATAAACTTGCAGAAAATTTTTTTTGAAAGAATAGAAAACAAGAGGGAAGATATAAAGAGAGCAGGAATGAAAGATAAAAAGGGCATCCTCTTTTTTCATTAACTTGCGGATTAACTAGTTGTGTGAGCTTTACAAATACCAACATGAGGTTAGATGCTAAAAGTGAAGTCAAGTGGGAAATGGTTCTTTTCTTCACCTAGTTTTCAGTCTAGAATGAAAAATTTAATAATCACATAAACGTAAGAGAAATTTGAAGATGTTGCAGAAAAAACCTTAATTTAGATCTCTCAACAAGAAAAGGCTTCCAGAAAGAGATAAGGCTGTCCCTGAGTTTTGAGACTATAGAACACCATCTAAAATAAAAAGAGAAAAGAAAGTATGTCAAGGGAGCTCACATATACAAATTCACTGAAGAATGACTCTTGGTAGAGGCTGGGAAGGTGGCTCAGTGGTAGAGCGCTTGCCTTG